ATTAGTTAAAAAAGTTTCAAAAATCCAATAGATTTCGTTCCACTTCACAATTGTGTCCCACTTGTTGGTGATTCTTCACATAAAATAAAAAAATTATATCTTTATGTTTGAAGCCTGAAATGTGGCAAAAGGTTGAAAAGTTCAAGGGGGCCGAATACTTTCGCAAGGCACTGTAGGATGTTGTGTTATTGTTTGCTTTGTCACGATACAGTATATTTCAAATTAGCCATTTATATACACATTCCTCAGCAGGAAATTCAAGTTCATTTTAATAATTCTGCAGTTATCCTCAAGTTGATTAAATTTGTTCAAACAAAAGTTTGTCAGTTTCCTTGATTTTGTCATTCTCGTGTAGTCATGTTTCTGCCAAAAAAAACAAAGGACAAGGAGGTAGAATCCAAGAGCCAGATGATTGAGGGGATCAGCAGACTGATCTGCACAGCCAAGCACCAGCAGACCATGCTGAGAGGTAGGAATCTGCATTATCCAGCAGGAATCCACCAGCCATATCACCCTGCAACTCACAACTGGCAACCCACTGAAGCTAAGCGGGTGTGAGCCTGGTCAGTACCTGGATGGGAGACCTCCTGGGAAAAACTAAGGTTGCTGCAGGAAGAGGTGTTAGTGGGGCCAGCAGGGGGCGCTCTCCCTGCGGTCTATGTGGGTCCTAATGCCCCAGTATAGCGATGGGGACACTATACTGTAAACAGTCGCCGTCCTTCGGATGAGACGTAAAACCGAGGCCCTGACTCTCTGTGGTCATTAAAAATCCCAGGGTTTTTCTCAAAAAGAGTAGTGGTGTAACCCTGGCATTGTGGTCAAATTCCCTATTGGCCCTTACCAATCACGGTCTCCTAATAATCCCCATCTATGAATTGGCTTCATTACTCTACTCTCCTCCCCACTAATAGCTGATGTGTGGTGAGCGTTCTAGCGCACTATGGCTGCCATCGCATCATCCAGGTGGATGCTGCACATTGGTGGTGGTGGAGGGGAGTCCCCATTACCTGTAAAGCGCTTTGAGTGGAGTGTCCAGAAAAGTACTATATAAGTGTAAGCAATTATTATTATTATTATTATTAAGCACAGACACTGAACCTCGCTCCCATATATATTGATATACACAGACACTGGAACACATTCATGTACAGAGAATGTGTTCCAGAGTCTGTGCATGTACACATGCACCAGAGATATTGAAATACTTTCATATACAGTATATACACACACACCCAGAACCCTGCACCACAGACACTGTATCACATTCATATACTCACCATCACACACCTGCACCACAGACACTGGATCACATTCATATACAGTACACACACACCCCCACACACCTGCACCACAGACACTGGATCAAATTTATATATACACACCCCCTGGACACTGGAAAATACTCTAACACTCACGCACGCACACAGTTGTATCCTAAACATGTATAAAACACGCAAACAACTAACTCCAGGCAGTAAACACATAAAACGACACATGCTGCAGGCACCAAAGCAGAGACTATCAGTGCATACACCCAGGCACTAGAGGCATTCCTTCAAAGTCCTTCTTGTAGGTGAACAATTTTCAGCCTTATGTGGGCTGCTGTATCAGCAGAGTTTCATGTGAGCTGAGCTCTTAATGACTCATTGTACTTTCTGTCTCCTGTGTCCCACAGTGCTTATAGACGGTGTGGAGTGGAACGATGTCAAGTTTTTCCAGCTGGCTGCCCAGTGGTCATCACACGTCAAACACTTCCCCATTGGCATCTTTGGCCACTCAAAAGCCCCCTACTAGCACCCCCTGTAGACTCCTTACAGAACTGCAGACAGTTGACTGTGTGCCAATAGCCTTCCCCCCCCCCCCATAGCCAGCCTCCTTCAATTCCTGCCTACAACCTTCTTAATTTATGTCTGCTTTCTTTGTTGGCGGTTTTTTTTGGCAAAGGTCTGGACAAAAAAAGACTTTAAGAAAGCAAGGCTGTCGAGGGGGAGACATTTCTTTTCTTTAAAAAAAAATCCCTTCAGACTTTTTCTAAACTTTAAGAGGAAAGCATAATGTAGTAATTTGAAATGATTAACTCTGTAACATCACACAGTACAGCCAAGTGAGGATCGGGCCTTTGGGGTGCCTTCAGAGTTGATACCAGTGAATTATTGGTTTGAAGCATTTCACTGTGTGATTAACATCATTAAAACACATTTTTCTCTCAGTAGCCTTCATAACCAAATGACTTTTCCAGAATGGGAAAAATCCCTAGGAAGAAATGAGTCTTTCAGCTTACAAGGCCAAAGGACTGGACATCGAATTGCAGATGGAAAGTTCTGGATCCCCCTCTTATTGGACAGCAAGACTTTCATAGTTAACTAATGGAATTGCCCACTGGGACCCCTTGTGTTCATCTAAAGGAGATTGTATGTTGTGCAATAAACTGTATATAATAAATGAAGTAGCTCCTGAATGAAGTGACAAGTCTAAGCACACACAGAGGATCGAGGATCGGCCTTGCTCTATCTCAAGAACTGAGACAGGGCTGCAATGACAAACAGCAATGGCAAGTGATTTCCTTTTCAGTGTGTTGGAAAGGAAACATTTTTCCCCTAAGTTACAACTTAAAACAGTTACAAAATGCATACATAGAAACAAGTTGGTAATAAAATCTTTGACCTTCTAGGTGATTTGTTAAATTGTACTTCTTATGAAAAACATTTTTACCTGACCTGACGAACCTAGGGTGGCAACTGGGGTGGTGCTCCGGTTTCCTCAAAGACTCCAAATATATACTGGGAGGTTCATTGGCTTCTGGGAAAACTGCCCCAGGTGTTAGTGTGTGTCTGTGTGTGTCCTTTAGTGGACGGGTGTCCTGTCTGGGATGTCTTGCCTTCATGTCTCCTCTTGCCTAAGACCCTTTACTTCCCAGGATAGCTTTCAGCTTCCCCCATGATAGTGGTTAGAAAATGAGAGTATGGATGAATTGTTGGATGACAATATGCCAAAAATAAAAGAATTAAAGCTCTTGTTCTAATAGTTAATATTAATTCTAATAAGTCCAACCCTGGTCCTGAAGCGTTTCCATTCAGCAGGTTTTACAGGCAGCCCTTAAATCATCAATTTTTGCTGACCTGAAGCAATTTAACTGCAATCTGTTAAACAGGTGGAACAAAATTCAGAATATTATTCTTCACTCAGAAGACCAGAAGACCTAAATAGATCTGCTTCAACAAGTGTTTCTCTGATCTTTAAATAGCAGGTAATTTAGGGTGTCCTGTAAGGTTAACACAACTGGGGCTCTTCTTGCAAGGAGGGATCTATAGATGTTTGGAACACATTTCTCCAAATTTAGAATTGAAAATCAGCCTCCTAATAAAAGTAAGGACTCGTACAGGAATAGTGTTTTTGTTTAGCAAGAACTGACCAAATAAAATGCGTATTGGCATTTGTTGCGAGTATCCACCTGGATCACCCTGGACTCTTACGGACTTGATTTGAAACAGTTGTTCACTTCGTTGATCTCTATTAGCACTGTTTCTAGGTCTTTATTCACTGAGGATTAAATGTTTCCTGTAAACTCTGGTGAGGTGTGGCCTTCCAGGATCAGGAGTATTACTCTGGCCAAAGATTTGAAACGATCTGAATCTTGACAACATCCAGTCAGGCTTATGGAAATTCACTTTGCCATTTAGCGGCAAGCTGAAAGTCACACAGGCTAATTATAGTGTATGCATCAATACAAGATGAAGCCACATATAGGCTGATGCATGCATGTCTTCATCTTTCCTAATGTTGCAGTAGCTGGTTGCCAATTTCCTAATTTGCCGATTTGTAAATTGACAGGTTTAAACTTGTGTTTTTTTTAAATGCACCAGTACATACAGTAACAAAGATAGAATACTTTTTTCCCCCTCATTCTTATTTCTACTGGAAAAGCATAATCAGATACAAGGTAAGAGCCTCATCATAAACCAAGATGGTTCAGGACTTTGTAAAGGGGAAAATGAATTTCTTATTTGTATTCAACACAGTTTTTCCATGGAAGTATTTAGGTGTGGTTGTTGTGTTCAATATGAGTGCGCACTGTTGCTGGTTTGTCTCGACACCTTGTAAATGTTTCAGCCATTTCAGACTTGTGTTTTTGCATTTTCCTGTAATTCCCTGTTGTCTTACAATGTGCGACTGCGCATCCAGGAAAATGGGTACATTTTTCAGTTGGAGATCCACCATCAAATATTTCTCACCCAAAAGCTTAATTCTGGATGATGAACTGGGTAGGGTCCCTCACTGGAGATTTAGTAACATGAACAAAAGCACTTTTTTGAGGTTCATTTCTTTCAGAAAGGGGTGGGTTCCTGAGCAAAAGTTGTAACTTGTAAATGACTACCACTGTAAATCCCTAATTGCAGGATAATAAAACTAGACTCACTAAACATCTGACTCTGTGTATGGTCTTACAAGTTACTTGGGAACTACAGGATTGAAATGAATGAAAACTGTTATACTGGAACACCAATAAAGAAAAACATTTAACTGTCTCCAAGATAGCTGGAAGGTACATCTATAAACTTCACTTTTTCTTTTAAAAACTTGGGCAGTCTTTGCCAATTGCTGGGATTGAGAGTGGTAAGTAGCGGGTGGTTGGAGCTGCTGCATGAGAGCTCCTGCATCCTGGGAATGATCCCAGTCAAGGTGCAGCTTCTGTGAGGAGTTTGCATAATGAGTTAATACCAGATTCTCCAATTTCACCCATGATACAGAAACATGCTGGCAAGGTTAGTGGGTATCACTAATTTCCTCACATGTGTATGACTGGTCACCTGCCCAGTACCCCGTGCCTCCAGGCTACACAGTCTAATAATGCTTAATTTACATTCAATGGAAATAATCACAAGAATTGTAATAAGTGCCTGAACACAAACGGTACACACTCCTTTCAGATGGCACCATTCATAACATCTTATTCGGTTACAGACATTTCCTTTACATACACACAAACTTAAAAAAGGAAAAACACTTCTAGATTATTTATTTTTTTCCTGCCATTACATGTTATTACAAAACACATCTTCCAAAAAGCCACCACGTGAACAAAAACGCAGAATGTCACATCAGATCAGAAATGAAGGGAAATTCTGGCAAACGTTACATCAACATTTTAGAGGTTTCCGGTTTTGTGTGTTGATAGGAGAGGTTTACTTCCAGGTCACTTCCCCTGGTTTCAGTTCCCTGCAATTACAAGTTAAGAGCATCTTAATGAACCTTTCTAGCACATTTACTCACACTACATTCCTCAGACTGGTTTTAGTTTTGTCTTAAGGCAATCACATTTTTGCAAAGTGAAAGATTTATTGGCATCGGCAATGAATAACAGTGGTGATAAAGTAATAAGAAAAAAAAAATGCATTTTCATACCCGAGGACTTTGAGGAGCATAGTATAAGGTTGTGGGGAAAAAAAAATTATGAAAATCCAGGCAGGCTACCTATGTCCACATACATGTAGAAAGAAGAATTATTTAAAGGCTGCAATAATATTTAGTGTTATTGTAACCGAGATGATATCCCCTCTTTTCTCTTCATGAAACCTTCCCTTTCTCTTTGTGCTGACTCACCAGGGGGGATCACTCTCTGTGCCTCAGACTGGTGATCACATACTTTGCAAACTCTGTTCTTTACAAAACTAGCTTGAGAAAAAATAATCTTTTTTCAATAGTTCTGGACTTCTTAACTAATAAAGAGAACAGCTTTGAAGCAAGTACAAATTCTAAAAATCTAGTTTCAATATCACAATTTCATACTTTTCAATTGTTAAATGTGTAACTTTTCAAATGTTAGACAAAGACCTGTTTTTTGAATACTCTATACTGGGGAACACTAATTTTTCCAGAATGCTGCCTGAGTAAGGCACTGATTTCTGTCCTCTAAATCCCCTTAAGTCAGGATTGTAATTTGCTTATGAAATCTGAAGGGTTATGATATTCCATGACCAAGATGAATATAGTATTCTGCTTCTATATTGTAAAAGCAAAGGCACACCATGCGACCAATCAATGAAACCAACCTCTTGTACAACATGCTCTTGTTTCTAAAAGCTGTGAGTTTCTCATCATTCCTTCTGTCCATATAAATCCCAATCACAAAGCCAAGGGGGACGAGAACGTTGACCCAGTGCTCTCGTAACATATTCACCAAGTTCACCATGGTGCCTAGGAGACAAAATGCTCATTTGTGTTACAATCTAACAAAAGGTAGAGGTCAAATGGCTACTCAATGTAAAAGATGCTCAAATACAATTTTTAAATCTGATAAATGCCTGTATTCTGAGAACCACGATCAAGCACATTGCTCCTGGCTCTTCTGCTCTGGCTTGTAGACAATGGCCAAATGCCACTGCTGAATTTCCAGTACAGCAGATTTTAGTCTTCTACTGCACAACACTGATGAAATACACCTGACTGAACATCTGCAGACACACAGAATGCGCAGTTATAATCTTGTCATTAATTGCAACCTACAACAACATCTTGGAAATATCAGAGGGTTCAATCAACACGGAAACTTACAAGCAAATTCTAGCAATTTAAACTTTTCACACTGTGTAGCTATTTGGCCTATAATAACAATTTAACTGTTCAGAACTGCATCACGCATAAAGTGGTATCTGACAGACATGAGCCTCCTGTGCCAAATTTATCATGCAGAATAGTGGAACAAATCTTATATAAAATTGTTAACATTTCGCACTTAATGTCCTATGAAAAATATCTTCTGTGCAGATCGATTCGGCTTCAAAAATACTGGTGAGATAACTTTTAATAACTATACTTAAAAGATTCGAAAATATTGATATCCAAGTTTATGATGTCAAGCCAAAGCAAATTCTTAAACTGTCTCGTTTAATGAAGAAAACAGCTTTCTGATAAACACGAATCACTAGTGATTAGATCATTAATGCATTACATTACAGCAACATTGTATTCGGACAGCGCTGAACACTCAGATCCTCAAGGAAACATCTGACTGGTTAATTTATTTTAAACAATATTAAAATAACATTTCATATTTACGACGACATGTCAATAGCACTTTAATCGAAATAAGAGCAAAAGGTAAAACTAACTAAGCTAACAAATATGAATGAACTCTTTTACCTTCTGTATGGATTTTGATGTTCAGGCTTTTTATAAGACAAATATATAAGCTAGTAAAATAGAATCGTTAGATTTTAATTATTGTCAGTAAAAGGTCCTATAAGATTATCAGACAAAACAGTCTTTAAAACATAGGTTATACAATTAATGCGTTTTTCTCAGTTTCGCATTTTAACAATATATATACAACTCATACCTTCCCCTAGGTCAACCGAAGGCAGGCCCGACTAAGAGGACATTGGATTGAACCACTTTCTTAAAATGCGGGAAGAGTAAAGCCGTGAATGGGAATACTTACTACTTAAGTAATTTAAAAAGCAACAGAGATCATAACATATACATTGTAAATTATTATTGCTTTACATTTGTTTGCATAAATAACCGTGCCACCGATTTTTACCGAGAATATCTTGAAGTAAAAACCACCAAATATGCAATGGTATATCCGGATAACCTTTCACCTCTATTTTAGTCTGCAATGGCCGCTTTGTGAGAGCCGGGTGTGCGGCTCATTGTACGCGTTTAAAATTATGTAATCTAAACATATATTTAATCGGTAAAAACCAGAATGTAAAGGTTAAACTTTGTGTTTATGAAGTGTTTTTATGGTATGTTTATATCAAATTTCGAAGGGTACATTTTAAGGTGTGTGGCCTGTCGTGATTGTTTATAGTTTTGCCCGTAATAACCATAAGCTTGTTATTGTCAGTATTTTTATTTGATCGTTCCCTATCTAATCAATTATTTTGATCTAATTGTCCCCCTTGCTACAGTAAGCAAGCCGCCACACTGAACCGAAACCAACTTAAAAAAAACAAGTTTATGGTGATTTCACAGAATGCAGTTCGGTCGTCTAATTGTTGTGTGTCGCTGTTTAATGTGGTCTTATGACGGTGTGGTATAACTTTAGAAATATTGCGATATTTACCTCGTTGTAAAATATGAAATTTAGTCTAATGCACAGCTACAGTGACAACGTATTACTCAACGAAGCGAAATGTTCGCAACTGAAGCCAAACATTTAGATAAAACAATTCCGCGGTGTATCGTCACAACTCTGCCTAAATATTTTCTCCTGGTTGATATTTTAAGGGAATAGGAAGTATTATAGAGTTCATATTTTGAGTTGTATATCGGTGTTAGTGTTTCCGATCAAATGAAAATGATAACAAATGTTCATATATTAATTTTTTCGTTTGTAAATTCTTCCCCTATTATTTCCATAAGTGTGGCTCTGACCTAATATGTTTATTATCCTACAGTGTGCCAAGTGTTGCTAGCATAAAGCAAAATGACCTCCATCATCAAGCTGACGGCGATTTCAGGGGTGCAGGAAGAGTCGGCGCTGTGTTACCTGCTTCAGGTCGACGAGTTCCGCTTCTTGCTGGACTGCGGGTGGGATGAGAATTTCTCCATGGATATAATCGACGCAATGAAAAGGTCTGTTTACAGTATAACCTTACTTAATGGATAGATTCAGCTGTGTTGCTTATACAGCAGAACTGTGCGCTGACGACAAATTCTGCGCCGTGAACATCAGCCAGTGACATTTAACTAAGATCTGTAAGGATTTAAGTTTATGTTTAATTTTTTTATTGCAGGCATGTCCATCAGGTTGATGCAGTGCTTCTCTCCCATCCTGATCCTCTTCACCTGGGGGCTCTTCCTTATGCTGTGGGGAAGCTGGGGCTGAACTGCACAATTTATGCTACCATCCCTGTGTACAAAATGGGACAGATGTTTATGTATGACTTGTATCAGGTAATGGAGACTTGTATCTCTTTTTGTCAGTAATAATTGAGTTATGAAGAGTCATGACGTATGTTTATTCATGCATTGAAAACATGACTTGTTGCTGCAAGATGCAAAACACAAGAAGATATTCTTCATTTAAATTACCAGGAGGCAATTATTTGGATTTGTTTAGGAAGTAATCCATTTTTACTATGATGTAGTTGCTGGAATTTATGTTTTGCTATGTACAATGATTCTTGTCAGTGATTTGTACACATGATACTTATTGAGGGGTGGCACAGTAGAATTTGATGCCTTAACATACATCCACTGCCCTTTCACTGGCTCCATATAAAAGAAGCATGTTTTATAGTCAGATAATATCCTGCCATGCATTTTCTAACTGCTTCATCCAATACACGGTTGCCGGGGAAACCAGACCATATCCTAGCAGGCAATGGGCACAAGGTGGGGTACATCCTGGATATGATGCCATTCCGTTGCAGGATGCACACAGACATGTGTACACTTACAGATAGGGCCAATTTTTCCCTGAAGCCACTAAACTTACCAGTATTTCTTTGGACTGTGGTAGGAAAACCACATGAACATGAGGAGAACATATAAACTCCACCCCTATGCTATCCACTTCACCCCTGTGCTGCACGCTATCATATATTGTGTGCTTATTCATAATGTATGATCTGATGTGTAATGTTATACACTTGTTATTTTTCATTTTGTTTTCTAAATGTCTGTCCTGGAAAATTACATATGAATGTTCTCAGGTGTTGTAGTGTTTGATGACCAGTGTCCATTTGTACCTAATGCTGGCAGTGGAGCTGAAGGCCATCTTGTCCAGTGTAACTCGCAGTTTCAAAACAGCAGCATTGTTTTAAATGTAGTTAACCTGTAGAGGATTGTTGAGCACTTGGAACAGTGCACAATGTTGTTGTTTCTTAACAGAAGTTGTTGTATTTTTTCTTAGTCTCGTCATAACACTGAGGATTTCACCTTGTTCACCCTGGATGATGTGGACTCAGCCTTTGACAAAATACAACAGTTGAAGTATTCACAGATTGTCAATCTGAAAGGTACAAATCCTGCAGTAAACCAAATAATACAGATACATTTACAGATAATTTTACTTTTAACTCTTATTCTTAGGGGCCCCCTTAGAAAAATGTCTAGATATTACTAGTAAGGTCTTAGGTTCTACATATTTATTATAAACTCCTGATTTAATTTGACTGTTTCTCATTTTGAGGTTGCACATAGACTTGTTAGAAATAAGACAGATTTGCTTTGTCCAGTAGGTTTTCTTTGTTGGGGTGCTCAGGCATTTCACCTCACTTCTGTTTAATCAGCCCTTTTAAGTTGACCTTTTTAGTTGAACAGCTTTAACTATATATTTTTTTGTTATTGGTTTACAGGTTTGGAAACTTTTAATCAAATTAGGAATGGTACAAATTCTCTTACCATTGCTTGCTTGTCAGGCATAATAAGGGACTCCAAAAATATTGTAAATCAATAAATACATGTTATAAAAAGACCAATTATACAATTCATGAATCATATTGTTACAAATGGGGGGTTACGGAATTGACAGAGGTTTAGTCAGTAAGTAAAATAATAATTCACAACTTCTAAGTGATTTCACCAGAATATACCTGAGTGGTTGGTATAATTGGAGTGAATTCTTTATTCTCTGACACAGCTTTGGTGAAAGGAGAAATGATCTAGGAACACTTGATTAAACAAATATTTATTACAATGACAAAACACAAACTACAGTACAAACAACAGAACATACAACACACAAGTTACTCTATGTACAGTATTTACAGACAGGTCGTTTCAGTGGCATAACATTCTAATCACCCTTGAAAAATCCCCCGACTTCTACTAAGTATGAAACTCTTAAGTAATGCCTACAGAGGCCAAATAAGAGATAAGCTGTCTTCTAAATACTGTAAATGCAAGACAGCCTGCTGTTAAATCTCTCTCTTCGCCCTGGATGCCACAAAATAAATGGGAGCTTATCTCCCTATTCTAAAAATGCACCCTAAGCAGGAAAGATGTTTCTAACTAAGTAATGTTTGCCCTGGAAAGCCAAGTTCTGTAAAAACAGAATAGCAAGTTTTCTCTAGCAAGGTTCAAGTACTTAGCTCCGGTCAGGTTTTGTTTGGATGATCATGAAGTAGAGGCCTTCGCCTGGTGCAAGCTTCAATTTCCAACTCCTCTCTTCTCTCTATGTTTGTCCTCCTTCTTGTTATTTCCTTTCTTCTTCACTCTCTGTGCTCTTAATGTAATCTCACATTGTGTGTGTCAAATGAGCTCCCACACAAGATCGACTAGATGTCATTGTCATCTCCTGAGATCTATGTATTGATTTATGTTTTTATCAACTCGTTTTCAGGGAAAGGGCATGGCTTGTCTATAACTCCTCTCCCAGCTGGTCACATGATCGGAGGGACAATCTGGAAGATTGTGAAGGATGGGGAGGAGGAGGTTGTGTACGCCGTTGACTTCAACCACAAGAGGGAAATGTAAGTGTAGAGTACCTAGTTTAAAAGGGAAAGTCTACAGGAATGAAACACGGGTGTCTTTCCCAGGTACTGCTAAACTCGAAAGATCTGTCACACAGTCAGATGTTTTTCTTCTTCTGTGAATAGGCATGAATACTCAGAACACTGTTGTGCAAAATCATATTATTATACAGGCAGTACGTTAAAGCAGTGCTGTTTTTGCTTTGGAGCATATTGTGCCAGGGCTGTTTAGAGGGCATTACATTGAATATTGAGAGCCCAGTGTTTGAGAAAATAAACAGTACTACTGTAAAATGAACTGCACTCCTCAATGGAACTCAACTTGAGTTCTGTGTTCATAAGATGTATTTCAATGTTATTAAATCATTTAAATATGATTACCACATGAAGAATGTTTAAGGCAAACTTTACTACACTCCTATGGATTACATGTGAGATGACAGGATTTCAAAACACATAAGTTACCTAAAATGAAAATCACTAAAATAAAATCAAGTTTCAAATGTTTAGACTTAGGAAATGTGTTGCAGATCCATGTCTTCATTCCAGAATAATATTTTTAATATTAATACACACATCAAATCAATATCTTTAGCAAAGTATATACAGTAGCAGTATTTCTGCACCAGCAATCCAAATATCCTCATGATACTATTTTACAGTTACCTGTGTCATCT